TGATTTAAGGACTGCCTTTGAGTATATTTAATTCATGTAAAGTCATTTATATGACAGTGGTTTGATATAACGTCAAGAATAGATGAATTAATATATATAATATATATAATATATATTTTATACTCTATAATTTGAAATGGTTTTTGGCATCATGGAGTTTTATTCGGGCAAATTGTAAAAAATCAATTTTGAATGAAACTGCCCTACATTTCTTATAGAATATTGAAAAAACAGTGTCGGGTGAGTTTTAGGCGGTTAAAATCTATAAAAAGTCAAGTATTGAACTGACCCATACACGGTGTCAGGGGATGACAGAGAGTAAATTAATGGGTACATATTTCTACATGACCCATTTTATATTCTATACTTTGGAATGGTTTATGGCACCATGGAGCTAAATATTTTTTAGGTAGGCAAGTTTTGAATGAGACTGCCCCATATCTCTGCCAAAATATTGAATATGCCATGTCAGGTGATGATTTATGTTAACCCAGTGTCCTGTTTATTCATAGATCTGGGGAGTTTGTATTGATTTTATTCACTAGTTTCACATCAAGCTCTTCATCCCATCTTGATTCATCAAGCTTCAGTCTGAGAGATGTAGTATTGAGAATGGGCACTGGCTATTCTTTTGCTCCACCCCCACCTGCCTACCCCCCCCCCCCCAAAAAAACACTTACATAATACATAAGTGAATGCAGGGGCTAGAGACTTGCATGCTGACATGTTATCCTTCATGATGCTGCTGGATTGACTACATGCAATGTTAAAGGATTTAAGCACTGGAGTCAATGAATTATTTTGCTACAGTCTTTTGAGAGTTAGGAAACTACCTTGTGTCCTGTTCAAAATTCATTTGTACCTCGTTGGAAATTGTAAATTTTGGATCAGTTTTAGCTATTTCTTTGGTTCTAAGAAAACATAGAAAACATCCTTGAGAGAATATTGCTTTTGTAGTATTTGAATTTTTAGAAAATTGAATCAAAATACTTACCAAAAATGATATCGCAAGGCTCATTCTTAATAATATAGATTCAAATGTAACCAAACTCCTTTCATATTTCATTAGAATCGTATGATAATTTGTTGATTGAATTTGCTGAATTCCAAACTGAGCACTTGATGCTTGGCTGTAAAATACTTCTAGATAAGTATAGTATTGAAATTGATGTGAAATAAACTGACCAGCTCTCCAAAATCACACTTGAGATCTTTATAGACCTTCAGTGTAACAAAAGTCAGAGATAAAATTCGAGGTTTAGAAAAGAGATTCAAAGAGAATGCAAGAAATGTCAGTTAAATTTTAATAAATACAAGGTACTTCAAGAAATGATAGAGTCATTTCAAACTGTAGATCTCTGAACAAGTTCGTTTAGGAATACAGGTCCATATTTTTTTGCAGTTGTGACCAGGTGACAGATAACTTCACGTGTGTTATTATTTCAAGTTAATTTGCTCTGTAGACAAAATAGAACGATAGATAAGAATTCAGTGTTATCGTAATTCCTTATCCGTGATATAACATATACTAAGTAGTAAGTACCCTTGTCAAGAGGTTCACTTCCTCTGATTGAGAGCTTTGACATACTCAGAGGATAGGAATTTGTACTACTAGTCTCTATTTGCATTCTTTGAATCTTTACCATATGATTAAGCAGCTCTATTGTTGCCCTTTACAATTATTGGATTGTGCCCCTTCAAAAGAGAGCTTCATCTGTATTATAAAAGAGGAAACTGCAAGTGTATACTGATCAGGGGTTTCATTAGCAGCAGGTAACAGGTGATTTTCACCCATTGTTTTCACAAAATCGCCTGTTGTTTTTAGGAACTTTTCAACTTTTCCATGTTGAAATTTTTGATTTCCATTAATTTTGCCTGTTGTTTTCATTTATTTAGCCTGAAGTGAGGAATTCTAGTGAAACCTCTGTCATATATGTTTTACATTTCTTGTATATCAATTGTCCCTACAGAGGTTTCATTGGTAGCAGGCAACAGACGATTTTCACCCGTTGTTTTCTCAAAATCGCCTATTGTTTTTAGGTACTTTTCAACCTTGTGAACCGGACTCAATACTTTGCTGTTTTACTCAATACTCATTTGAATTTCTGAGTGTCTTCGGATTTTTTTGTGGATGGTGTTTGATGGTTGGTGTTCGGTGACTGATGTTTGGTGTCTGTAACAAATGGCAGGTGGTGACATTTTCATGTTAATGCCTTATATATCATCTACTCCCGGGTGCATTATAAACTATTATTACTCAGTATTTCTGCATCTAACAGTTTGTAGGTTTATATGGTATCCTGTATTTAAGTCAAAGAACAGAATGTCGTCATTTTTGTCATAAATATACGATGATAAAATGATTTATGTGTAGTAGTTGGTTAATATAATCTGTAACAATTTTGTAAAAATTGTAAAAATATGTAACTATCTAGGTTATTTGGTACTTCTTGCTTTCAATCTTTACAAAACTGAAGCAATAAAGAATTATTTATTGCCATTCTTGCATTGATATTTCGATAAGATTGGGCGATAATTGAGATGAAAATTGTTGTAATCATTTTCCATAGGAACTAATAAAACACCTTGGTTTAATTTCAGAGGAAGTCATTATTTTAGCGTAATTTCTATTTATTTATTAATATATTGGACCTGTACAGAAAGTATGAGTGTGCTACATGATTTTTTCTTTTATGAATCGCTTGATTTTGAAGTGTGAAAGCCTTATTTTGAATCTCAGAAGGAAGTTATCTTTCATACAATGGCAGATTCCAATTATGCGTGTCATGCTAAAACTTCAAAAGTGCTCATTAGTGAAAATAAAAATTTACAAATGATTTTGGGATATTTATTTTCATACTTTAATATAAAAATCAATCCAAAACAACAATTTGCATTGAAATATGATTATATTATTTAATGTGAATTGATTCATTGATTCGATAAAAATTTCCTCTCCCTTTTGTACTGTTCAATGACAGTTTACAAAATTATATGGACACATACTCTAAAGACCTTTAATTTGTCGGGACTGGATGCCTGTTATCAAAAAAAAATCCATAATTAAAATGACATGTTTTGTATTTGTTGCTTTATCAGCTAATGTACGAGGATCACTCTGAATTAATCAATTGTCTTTTAAATTGAAAGTCGCTTGTATTTTTTCAATTTGGAACCTGTGCTACTAACTAGGAAAGGGCTGTGATATTTTCACAAAAGAACATTCATGGCTTACTCTATTGATCTTGGAAGTCACATATAGCATTTTAAATTTAAATATTTTAGGGTTATTTAGGATACGCATTACAGCTATTGGCCCTTTAATCGGTTTATAACAATTATAGATTACAATTAAATTATCGCAGAAGATGTTCACATTGTGATGTATTTACTTTAGATAGGCATTCACATTTATTTTACTTTATTAATTTTTTATCTTTAAAATGTGATATGGCCTTGCATATAAACAAACAATGTTGTTTATCTCGTGTAAATTACAAAAAATAAACCTTAATGACAAAACATATAAATAATACCATTGAAGTGAACGTAAATCCCAGACATGAAAAGATTTCAATTATACAAATCGAGTATCAAATTTTCCTTAAAATATTATATATGCCTCCAAAAACTATTAATTTTATATCAAATATCACCAAAAATCCAAAATATTTTTCAAACTTTTTTCAAAATTAGAATCTAGCTGACAACAGAATATAATTGATGAGGTTATAATTACATATGAGTAATAAAAAAGCTGAGATATATTTTAACGAATTCTCTGTTATTTATCCAGAAATGATGACAACAATTCGAAGTTTTTGAAAGGGTTATCAGAAGATCTTTTAGAGGTTTTTTGAGTTACTGGTTAGGTAGGATCTTAAGGCGGGATAGGTGCCGCTATGATGATTTTAATAATTTATGAGACAACTATTTTATCAGGTTTCTAGAACAGTTGAGTTTGTTGTCTATATTGATGTCTGAATCTGTTACATCAGTTACATCTGTTATGTGTAGAATACAGGCCTGTAGCCAGGTGGGGGGGGGGGCGGTTCTAGTGGATTTCCCCTTGCCAAAAAATCTTTCAAATTCATATAATTGTTCACCATTTTGAGCACTTGTTAAGTGATTTTGGCCATTTTACTTGTCAATAATTGAACCCCCTGGAATTTTTCAAAAAGAAAGTTGGAAAAAGTTGTCTACGAGACTGGAACACCTCCTCAATAGAATACATTTAAGTGGAATTAAGACTTTCCACTTACACAGGTTTTACTGTACTTATTTCAAATACAACTGAACTTATTTCAAATACTCACAAATTGATATTGTCACTTTTGAAGAAAACCTATGTGGAATGTTGAATCGTATTGCCTTGGTCAATATAGATCCCAGGACCCATTATTTCCATTGTCTCCCTATGGTTGGAGTGCTTTGAACTTACCTAGCAAGTTTCTATTCAGTGGAATTGACTAAAATGTTGTGAAACACTGTCTTTGTGAAATGTGGTTTTATTTAATACCCGGGCCTTAGTATGTGTACCAAACGAAATGATACGACATCCGGGTCTTTGCATGTCCTCATTACAAAGTAGTGGTAAAAGGGGTTAGCTTTCTCAGACCTAGGCACCTTTTTCAGCACCGTTTAGCGGTAATCTTACTCTATTTCATTGCAATCCGTACATATCATTAGCTACATGATTGATTAACTTAAATGTATGATATGTAAATAAGGCTAATACGAACAGAAAAACAGAGAAAACAGACACATTCCAAGCATTACATTCGCCCTTGGTTCATTTGTTAAAAAGATCATATGTGGATTCAGGATATGAAACATGCTGCCATCTATTAGCAGAACTGACATGTTTATTCAGTGTAGTACATCAGAATGTGCTGCCATCTTTTCAATACTTATAAAATAATAATTATATTTTAAAATGAAGTCTGAGCTATGTCATAATTACAAGTACAAAATCAGTAATAGGCAAAACAGAACTCTTCAAATTATATAGACTTTGTTACGTTTATTTCTTTGTCAATATGTGTTATTTATATTATATGTAGTATTTACATTTTATTATAACATTATAAACAGTATTTACCTAATATTATTAAACTATGCAGTTTTTACATTATATACAGTAAGACCTGTGTGTATTGAACATTTTTGCCAATAAAAAACTTTTCAGTAATGGGAGGTGTTCAATACAGATAGGATAATTTATGTAGAAGTCAGTAGAGTATGTGTAGTCTAGCTACAAGCCTCTGTGACCCCCCCCCCTCTCAACTTGATTACACACTTCACACACTTGTTGGCAAAGAGTTTGGAGCTAGACTTAGCAGGCCCGTAGCCAGGATTTGCCAAGGGGGGTTCACTTTTGACAATTTTGGTCCAAAAATGGCCAAAATCACTTAAAATTTGGTCCAAATGATGAAAAACTGCATGATTTTGAAAGAATGTTTGGCCAGGGGGTTCAGGCCTGCTAAGTATGTGCAGAGAAAAGATGTCTACTAGATACAGGTGTTCACAAGAAAGAGGTGTTCACTTAAACAAATTTTTCTATAAATGAAAATATTTGTTTTTAGTTACGTTTACAGCATCTCAGACATTTGGCGCCTGACTCTGATAAATATTTATTTGGTTACACTCATATTGCTCAATGTTGGCATCATATAGAGGGGAACATACATCCCCAGTGGAGTCGTTTCAGTCAGTGTCAGATTCATACATAGAACTATCGTCACTCTCACTGTTCCATGTTCCAGAAAGGTCATCTGGTGTGTCATGGTTATAATCTTGCGTGTCATGGTAAATAGATGGCGTGCCAACTTCTCCCATGTCAGGGATTGATGCGCATGTCGCATTCATTGAGCAATCGATGTCTTCAATTGGTTGATGAGAGTTGGCGATCTTACGGACTGCATATCCCAAGTGTTGGGGAAATGCATTATGGGAACATGGTTGTTTGGAGCAGACGTCACACTGGCTACTGGTATAGGAAGATATAGACACGGGGCTAATGTCTGAATTTAACGATGAAAGATCACTGTCTGATGGAAAATACCTCTTGCTAAAGTCTGGTTTACAGCTGATATGACTGGTGGTGGGACTAAGGGGTCTCTTTTGTTGGAATATTGACCCCCGTTCTTCCAAAGTGTTATGTACTGCATGATCAGCACACTCATTGTGATTGTGATACTTGGAAATACTAGACAGTTCTCTGATGTTTGAGTTACTTTCATCTTTGCTGCCGAGGGGTCTTTGAATCTCAACTGAATTTGAGGGCTCCTTGAACACATCATTAAAATCATTGACTTCTAATTCATAGATTGTCCACACTGATACACTGTCCGAGCTTGAGGATTCACATGTGTGCGTAGTGGATGTCTTTCCTATGCTCTGTCGCCGCTCGTAAGTACGACGAAGTTCACAAGCTGTGGTTGATAAGCATTTACAGCATTTAAACAACATAGATCGTGGCGTTGATGTTGATTGTGTGTCGGCAGTTTGCAGATGAGATTTTTCTGATTTTTGCCTAACAGGTGTTGCATCTGTGTTCTTTTCGATGTCACTTTCAGTTTTGTATATCAATTTCACTTTTGTGGAGGTACGAGGTAGGTCTGAGGTCAGGTGCTTTTTGGTTGAGGTACGGGGTAATACATAGTCAGTTGATGAGTGACTGGAACTAGATTGCGACACTTTTTTGGTTGCTTTAGGCCCTCTTGTGTCAAGGGTTGCGAAAGGAGGAGGCACCATCTTAGATGTGTTAGTTTGAGACTTGATTGGCATCTTTGATTTCCGTGACTGTGAACAAGATTTTCTGCGCTTGATGTTTGGAAGGCAGCCATGTTGAATTGTCTGCTCCAGAGTAGGGATTCTGGGACTGGGGAACTTCTTTTCAAGATCGCAACAATTTGGAATGTCATTGTCAGATTCTTTTATGGAACCAAGGCGTTTCTTCTTGAGTTTGGATCTAATTTTAGAGCTCATTTTGTGGATATTTTGTTCAGATCGGAACTGCCCAAATTCATCCTTAAGCGTGTGGATCTTATTGAGCTCGGGTTCGCTGCCTCCTTTCATTGGTCTATTGGACAGTTTATTGGTGTTATTGGTGGTCTTTAAAGATTTACGGAGTTTGAGAGGCATAACACAGCATTGCACATCGCCAGACATGTTTGTTTGATTCATGTCGTTATAGATGGCTCTAGTAGGTGTATTCCGTCTGCTTATATCAACAGTATTATGGGATGCATTTGTAACTTTCAAAGTTTTTACATTTTCACGGAGTTTGTAATCCAGATTTTTACTTCCACTTTGGAGAGTTCGACTGAGGTCAGATGATGAAAAGCTGCAACTTGATTGGCTATTCCCTGTCACACTTGCTGCATCCAATGTCGGCATTGAAGAACTGTCACTATAGTAACTTCCATAGCTTTGTTGATCATATATGGAATCGCCATATTTCTGATCACTGGATAGTTCCCATTGAGAGGCCATTCTTGGAATCACAGAGAGTGCCTTTGAAAGTTCCCTAGAGTCTGTAGCTTGTTCTGCCTTATTGTTAGCATCTTCTAACTCTGCCTTGAGCGCCATATGGTCCTTGAAGATCTTGATGTGCAATGCAGAATTCACTTTTAATTTTTTGAATAATTTCATCTTTGTAGATAGATGTGAACAGTATGGTATCAGAATTCCAAGTAGTGCCTTGCTATTAAAAATTTTATCATATACATGTACTAATAAGCTAATTTTAAACTGTTACCCAAACTGAGGAAATGTTGCTCTATGTTTAAAGAGATCGGTATCATATATATGAATATATTGAATTAAATAATATTTAATCCCCATGTTAAGCCAAACAAATGGAAAATTTTAATCTGAATGTTTTCTAAGGTGCTTTGAAATATTTTAATCTTTACAGATAATTAGGTAAATCAACAGAATGTTCACAGTTTTGAGCATATGTTTCATTTATTCTATTCTAACAAATATTGATGAAGAATATTATTACAAATATGCTATACATATCTATATACAGGTGAATAGAACCAATGTATATTTCCTTTCACATAATTCATAAATTCTATATATTTGGTTAGATGCAAGATTGGTTAAGCGATTTTGCATAATTGCTTTTGTTTAGAAAAATTATAGAGTTTAGAAAAATTCTAGAGCCACAGGAGTCTTGATTCATGTACTTCTACATAGCACCTGTGCCTGGGCATTGATTACTGTGTTGTTTTTTATGGTCAAATTCCAAAAGCTCTTTCTTGAATTTTTATATCTGAGTGTTAGTATTGCAGGCCCGTAGCCAGGGGGGGGGAGTTTGATGGGTTCGAGCGAACCCCCCCCCCCCTGGCCCAAAATTATTTCAAAATCATGCAGTTTTATTATGTCCCCACCACATAGTGTGTTATGTCCCCACCACATAGTGTGGGGCCATATTGTCAGCCTAGGCGCGTCCGTCTGTCTGTCTGTCTGTCTGTCTGTCCATCCGTCTGTCCGTACGTCCGGCAGTTTTCTCCAAAACCGCTACAGATATCACCTTCAAATTTTCAGGGATAACTTATCGGTGCATACAGATGTGGATGAAAATTCGATACCTACTTTCTGTCGGCCATTTTGAAGTAAAATGCTAAAATCCTTGTCCGCAAACTTTAAGGAAAACGGCTTCACAGTTGCTTTTCAAACTTTAACATCTTGTTCAGCTCACTTCATTCTACATCTGATTAGGTTTTGGACCTGTTAGCTCAGTCATGGCAGCCATTTTTAATGTCTTAAGAAAAGTTAGCGCGCGATAATACTTTGTATCATATTGAATGGTGTTTTTGAGTTTTCATACTTTAACTATTTTGTAGCTTTATAAATACTTTCAGGTGTACTTTGTTGTAAAAGCCTATGTTATTGTTAATGGTAGTTATATGTGATAATTTTGTAAAAAGAAATCAGCAAAAACTCATTATCATTTTTTTTTATTGTCGGCCATTTTGCATTTTTTCGTCCTAAAATCTTGTTTGTAAAGTCTTCTCTACACGTTTTCAGGTGAACTGTTGGGTTCTTTTAACCATTTTAAAATTTAAAATTTTCAGGGATGATTCTTAGTACAAAAATCTAGATCTGATTAGTTTTTTGGCATTCTGGGTAAATGTCAAGGCGGCCATTTTGGATTTTCCGTCCTAAAATCTTGTCAGTAAAGTCTTGTCTACACGTTTTCAGGTGAACCGTTTGGTAGATCAATTTCAAATTTTCAGGGATGATTTTTAGTATGAAAATTTAGATCTGATTAGTTTTTTGGCATTTTGGGTAAATTTCAAGGCAGCCATTTTGGATTTTCCATCCTTAAATCTTGTCTGTAAAGTCTTGTTTACCCGTTTTCTGGTTAACTGTTTGACGGATCAATTTCAAATTTTCTGGGGTGGTTCATAGTATGAAAATCTAGAACTGACTAATTTTATGGCATTCTGATTAAAATTTAAGGTGGCCATTTGGATTTCCCGTCCTCAAATTGTGTCGGTAATGTCTTGTCTACTCATTTTCAGGATAACCATTTGACAGGATCACCCATTGGTGGGGACATTTTGTACACATTTGTGTTTTTACATCTTTTACTATAACTCAAAAAGTGATGGAACAATTTTGTCTCTATTTGACATGTGAATACTCATAAGCAGAGAACACTGTCTTATGACAATATGGCTAGTGAGTGACGATTTTGAAAATGGTGGCCATTTTTTGTGTGTTATTATACGATTTTTGCTGTACTGATAAAGTATAGTGGAAGGATTTTGCAAAATTGGCAGCTATGGCTGTTTCATAGGATTTGCTGCAAGCGTTGCTGTTATCTATTTTTTATTGGCGTTTAGCATCTGTAGTGGCAGCTGGTGACATTTTAATGACATGACATTAATATTTAAGTAAAACACAAGTCAACATGTAAATTTGGTTAAAATGAGGGGAAAGGCCAAACCATAACAATTTGAATTCTGAAAACTGCTGCCATCTATTCTAAAGCAAAACTGTCATATTTTCAATTTAGCATGTAAGAATGTGCTGCCATCTTTCAAAAGTTAGTAAAGTAACTAATTTTGTTCATTTTAATGGTTTTCGTTTTTCTTGTATTTATGGCCATGTAAAAATTTAAAAGATGACCAGTTTTTTTTAAATCACTGAAATAGTTCATTTCTTGACCTCATTTGAATTAACTGAACAGTGCCAATGGAATTTAAACTGGGTGCAGTACAAGTTCTAAACTTTCAATCGGGTGCAAGTAACTTTCACCGGGGTGCAGGATACTTTTAACTGCGTTCAGGTTACTTTCAACTGGGTACAGGTTACTTTCAACTGGGTGCAGGTCACTTTCAACTGGGTGCAGGTCACTTTCAACTGGGTGCAGGTCACTTTCAACTGGGTGCAGGATACTTTCAGCTGGGTGCAGGATACTTTAAACTGGGTGCAGGTCACTTACAACTGGGTGCAGGTCACTTTCAACTGGGTGCAGGTCACTTTCAACTGGGTGCAGGATACTTTTAACTGTGTTCAGGTTACTTTCAACTGAGTACGGGTTACTTTCAATTGGGTACAGATTATTCTCAACTGGGTACAGATTACTTTCAACTGGGTACTGGCTACTTTCAACTGGGTGCAGGTTCCAATTCTGGGGAGACCATTATATTTTTGATGTAGTTTTTTGACAAACAGGAATGGAATTATTTAATGGGTGATAGAAATTGATGTTTTTATAACAATATTGCAGTTTTGAAATGAGAGCCTGGGGGGGGGGGGTAATAATGCTTTCATCATAATTTATATATATCTTTAAACAAATAATAGACAAAATAGATATTTAAATATATATATATAAACTGTGTTTTGTTTATTGCTTTTTGTGTGTTTGTTATTTACATTATATACACTATGTACATGAATATATTTGTTTCCTTCATATATTTTCAGTCAATGTGACATCAATATTGCTTGCCTACCATCCCATACTATTATACTATTTGCTATATATAATCTAATTAATCTATTTTGATGTATGCGAATGCTTTATATGTTTCCAATAATTTTTCTCCAAATATTTTACGTTTTTACAATAAAAATAAAACTACAAATGTGAATGTGATGTTTTGAATTTTAATTTGGAAACCATGACAACATATACATACACACAAAAAATGTTTCTATAGTAATCACAATTTTGGCATTGGTTTATTTACAAATTATGTTTGGCATATATATTTATGCAAATTACACATATTCAAATTACTCTCTAATTACTTTTTAATTACATAAAACTGTAATCATAATCTAATTAACCATATTTTTGATTTGTTTGCCTCAATTTTTATAATTACTTGATTGTCATTCTTCATTTTGATTTTAAATTATTATGATCATAAATATTACAAGCTATATGTTGGTTAAATTACATATACATGTACCTTACATGTGACCTTTAATTTCACTATACGCTACGCTCTAAATGGCTTTTGACTTGATCATAGAACTACACACAAAAATATAGCCATATTTTGTAATCAAAATACATGATCAGTAATCAACTATTTAAAATAGTGTCAGGAAGTGTGTCATTTTGATTTGACCTTTTGATGTTAAATCTTTAAAATCAAAAATAGTTTTATTTAAAGTACATAATGATTGAGCATAAAGGTGAACTATAATTTGATAACATCCAGGAAAGTACTTGGTTTATTGTTGTTCCGACTATTCAAAAATATATTTGGTTTCAGTTATTTAAGTCTGGCTGACACAAAAAGTATTCTGTAACAACAATCTGTAACAAGCACAGTAATTTGTAACGCTAAATAGTTTTCTGTGATACACAGTTATTAGCAATGACCAAGATGCTGGAAAGTATTACTTCCATCTGTCATTTTGTATTGCTTGCTGAATTTTTTCAGTCTACGTTTAAGTTCTCGTTTGCGATCTTTAGCCGCAGCCTCACTCTGAACTGAGTCGCAACCACTTGGGCCTTGACGTGATTGAAGATATTGCCGAGAACTCTGTGAATAACAAGAACTGGTTGAATTCTGGGATGCGAGACTAGGAGCGGGTGCACATTGTCCGTACATATTTTCAGCGTAATTGTCCGATTGCTGACCCTGTTGGGTGTTGTAGTGATTGTATTGGTTGTTATAAGCATTTGACGCCTGGCTGTGATTGGTCACTCTGTGGTTACGATTGTTCATTGTTGTAGCACCATATGATTGGTTAAAGGTGTGGATTGTATTATTGTTCACAATCTTAGGCTGTTTAACTTTCCCCTGGCAGTCGATTGAGCTCTGTGTACTAATTCCTGAATCATATTCATCCTTGAGTTTGTTGAGATCGGCTGACTCACAGCCAACTGGTGGGAGACCACGGTGACGGGAATGCATGGAGTTCTGGCCATCAGCTAACAATGGAGCGATTTCTTCATATTGGAGACGCTTGGGGTTGGGGCGAGCCTTATTTTTCATCCTTGGGGTTGATTTAACAGTGAGATTGTGGGGGGTTGCGGTAGTTGCTGGGGTATGGAGGGGAACAATAGGGTACCCAGTTGAGTCATCTGAGTAGATGTCGGACTCGTGTAGAGAACTATCGTCACTCTCGCTGTTCCATGTTCCAGAAAGGTCATCTGGTATGACATGGTTATAATCTTGCGTGTCATGGTAGATAGATGGCGTGCCAACTTCTCCCATATCAGGGATTGATGCGCATGTTGCATTCATTGAGCAATCAATGTCTTCAATTGGTTGATGAGGGTTGGCGATCTTACAGACTGCATATCTTAAGTGTTGGGGAGGTGCATTATGGGTACATGGCTGTTTGGAGCAGACGTCACATTGGCTGCTTGTACATGAAGACATGGACACTGGGCTAATTGAGAAATTTTCAATGTCCGAACTTACTGATGTGAGATCAAGGTCACTGTCTGATGAATAATACCTCTTACTAGAGTCTGGTTTACTGCTGATATGACTTGTGGTGGGACTAAGGGGTCTGTCCTGGAGAAACATGGAGCATGGTTCACCCAAAGCTTCATGCAGGGCATGATCAACACACTCATTATGCTTGGGGTATTTGGCAATGCTTGATAATTCACTGATGGTTAAGTCACTTTCATCTGCGTTGCTGCTAAGGGGTCTCTGAGACTCAGAGTTTGAGGGCTCCTGGAACACATCATCAAAATCATTGACTTCAGATTCATATATTGTCCATACTGATACACTGTCTGTATCTACATCTGAGCTGGAACTGGAGTAACTGTCTCCGTCACTTGAGGGTCGGAATGGAAGCTTAGTGGGGGTCCTTCCTGTGCTCTGTCGCTGCTCGTAGGTGCGACGAAGTTCAAATGCTGTAGTTGATAAGCATTCACTCTGGGTTGATGAAGTAGATCCCTTGCGAGATTTCGATGATGAAGATCGAGGTGGCAATGGTGGTTTACCAGTAACAGATGATGTTGATGTTGAATGTGTGTTGGCAGTTTGAAGGTCAGATTTTCCTGATGTTCGCCTCATAGCTTGAGCACCAGCGTTTGTTTCAATGTCACTTTCAGTTTTGTAGATTAATCTCACTTTTGTGGAGGTACGGGGTAGGTCTGAGGTCAGGTGCTTTTTGGTTGAGGTACGGGGTAATACAGATTCAGTTGATGAGCGACTAGAACTAGACTGCGACACTATGGGATTTGCTCTGACCCCTCTTGCGACACGGGGAGGCAAAACTGGAGGGGGCATCTCCGATGTAGTGGTTTGAGACTTTGTTGACTTCTGTTTCTGAGACTGTGAACGGGATTTTCTTCGCATGATGTTTGGAAGGCAGCCATGTTGGATTGTCTGCTCCAGAGTAGGAATTCTGGGGCTGGGGAACTCCTTCTCAAGATCGTAACATTCTGGAATGTCATTATCACATTCTTTGATGGAGCTGAGTCGTTTCTTCTGGCGCTTTGAACTACGTTTAGAGTCTCTGTGTTTAAGTTTATGAATATTTTGTTCAGAGTGGAACTGCACAAGATCGTCCTTAAGCGTGTGGAAATTATTGAGCTTTGGTTCACTGCATGCTTTCTTTGGAGCATTTGATAGTTTATAGTTGTCACTGGTTGTCTTTAAAGATTGACGAAGTTTGGGAGGCATAACACAACATTGCACATTGCCAGACATGTTTGTTTGATTCATGTCTTTATAGATGGCTCTGGTGGTTGTATTCCGTCTGCTTACATCAGCAGTATTATGGGATTTATTTGTAGCTTTGATTGTTCCAACATTTTCACATAGTTTGTTGTAAAGATCTTCACCTCCAGTTTGAAGAGTGTTCTCTGTCAGGTTTGTAGATTCCTTACGATAATCACCGACATCGCTAGATATAGAGCTTGATCGACTGATATCCGATGTTGAAAGGCTGCAACTTGATTGGCTATCATCTGTCGCACTTGTCACAATCAATGTTGGCACGGGACCGCCTATTTCTGTCGAATTTGGACGATAACTGGCTGGGTTCTGACTATCGATGTAATAACTTCCATAGCTTTGTTGGTCGATACTGAGTGTCGATTGTCCATATGTAGAATCGCCATATTTCTGGTCACTGGATAGTTCCCATTGTGAGGCCATAGTGGGAATCTCCGAGAGTGCTGTTGATAGATCCCGAGAGTCTATAAGTTGCTCTGCCTTAGTCTTAGCATCTTCTAACTCTGCCTTGAGCGCCATATGGTCCTTGAAGATCTTAATCTGTAAAGCAGAATTCACTTTTAATTTCTTGAATAATTTCATGTTTGTAGATAGATGTGAACAGTATGGTGTTTAATTTCAGAATGGTGTCTTACTATTAAATATTTTATTATATACCTAAGCTTAAGCTAATTTTAAAACTGTTGACCAAACTGAGGAAAATTTTGCCATGTGTAATAGAGACAGGTGTCATATATGGTGAAATATTAATATTATTTAATCCCCATGTTAAATAAAACAAAAGGAAAGTTTTAAACAAATCTGAAGCACTATTGTTTTCCTAAGAAATCTGAAATCTCTTAAACTCTATAACTAAAGTAACAGAAACTTTGCAGATTAGAAAATTAAGCAAATGTTTGATTTATTTATTATTTATAAATATTGAGGAATAATATTAGATTTACAAATAGAACCAATACACATTTCCTATCAGGTAATTCCCAATTTCTAGATATTTTTAAAACTCTCCAGAAAAGTATGACAGCCCAGATATTAAACATGTCTGCCAATTAGTACCATTGACATAAAAACAAATTGTTTTATTTTAATCAAAAATTACACCTGTAATTCACCTGACATTGTAATATAAAACATCTAACTTGTGAAATTGAATATTTGGCCATATTGTATTGTATTTCTTTATTTACCCATCATAAGAGATTTCCAATCATACATAAGAATTAATATAGCATTATAATTTAAGTAAGAAATAGAAAAAACACTCACCATTTCAAGCTTAGTATCAATATAGAGCTGTTGGACTGGTTTTTCATCAATAAATACTGAGTCAGAGAGATTGGTATTGTTAACACTTGGGGATGTGTCTGTATCAAGATAAACGGTGCTATTGATACGACTTTGATGCTTTATGCATGGCGGGGAGATATCGCTGAATGAACTGTACGAGCTGCTGTTCCCATCCATTATAGAGTCCCTGGAAATATACAAGAAATACATGTTAATATACAAGAAATACATGTTAATATACAAGAAATACATGTTAATATATGGCTGGATGAATACAAAATGGAAAGTCTTATAGAAATCATTTGCCCGCAAACCTAAAAGAGATGAAGATTGAAGAGTATATTAGTAACAAAATAAGAAAAAATGATACCTAAAAGCAAAAATTTGAAATTCAATATTTTATATTTATCTCACCAATCTGTTTCATGTGTTAAACTTAAAATGAAAATTATTCTAATATTTCAAATAGTTGAAATGTTTGGGAGCAGGTGAAAAAAGAATATTACATAATTTACCACTTTTATTAAAATGCACCTATCTAGCTTAGCATCTGACCTCAATATCCTTCTTATATGATTATTATTGAACCAACTTTTACGCCAAGTAAACATTTCATTAAGAAAACCTTAATTGACTTCTAAGATACTTCCTTACCCTGTATACCTAAATAAGATACTCTGAGTTATGTTATAACAGTTTTAACTTGTGAAATAACATTTTATGCTTATTAAATGTAACTTGAGCTGTATTAATAATATTACTGTAATGATTATGTTATGTTATTTTCTAGTTGTTTATTTTCTTAAGTCGTGAATTTCCTCTAGGGGTAGAGCTAAGAAAATTAATGTGTTTTTCTCTTACTCTTACCTGTGCTTGCTTTTTCTAAGATTGATATCCTCATTCTGAGTATGTCTCATCAGAAACAAATTCCCACAAAAAGTAAAACATTTTAAAAGCATGACTTCTCTCACGCTACATTCACTTAGCAAATGCTTGCACTAAACACACATGTATAACAATACCTATTTCAATTTTCTAATTTTCCTAATGTAATATTGTGTAATTTGGTTGATAGTAGTAGAAAGTGTTTTGATCAATTTGCCCCAAATTGCATGTATTGCAATTATGTTCAATTAGCCCCATGCAAAAGCTCAAATTATACTGAATACATCAAAGGGCTTTCCAATCTGCACTATTTGGCTAAAATTTCACATGCTATTGTCCATTATCTTTATATTGGTATTTCGATAATTTGTAATTTCCAATTTAGCATTCTGGGTAATTGCATCATAGCGCAAGACCTCCGGGTAGACAAAAATGCCTAATTTTCAAGACTGGATCTAATTATCTAAAATTTGCTTAGATCAATGTTCGGGTATTTATTGTACTTTAGAGAAAGTTTCATTGTTGGGAATGTTAGTTCTTCACCCTTAATTGCATCAATTGGAGTTCAACAATGTTTACTCTATGTGCTTTACCAAAACCATTAGGAATTAAACCTAGAAATCCTTGTTGAAAGTATCGCCATTGAATGGGATCAATTTCCTACGCTTTCACAGCGTATAAAGGGACTCTGATCACTTCAATATTGGGAGTGATTTGTAACAACAACATTAGATATAAACCCTTTCACGGATCCCTTTAGTAAATATGTTGACCCTTTGAGAGCGTATCCTGAGGGCGTCATACCCCGAAACCGTTCAGAAAAACCTACGTGGCTACATTTTAGTTGTTTTCCCATGTAATATCAAATAAAAGTGCAAAATTGATTCGGCTCCATGGAAAGGCATTAAAACTTCAAATTCCAACTTTTATTTGTAATCATTCATTTCAAACAAAGAATGGTGTTTATCTCCAAGAAAGGCACCATGCAAGTATCATTCACCAAGTGCTCTAAACTATTTTGAGGATCCTTAGCTAACTCTTGAGTAGAATTTGGACTGATGCAAGCAAGCAAGAACTCAAGATCTATATCAGGCATACAAATACTTGAGAAACATTGAATAACTAAGATATTGACACATTCCCCCTCAAAGTTTAAGTGCACGATTGGAATTGAATAACATTACTTCAAAACAACTTGATTCACAAAGCCAAAAATATTTGTAACAAACAAGAAAATCTGCAGTTTTTGATCATGGAATTTACATTGCTTTTATACTTACTTGAAATAAACAATTTCATGACGTGGCTTCTTTCTATCATTTAGATTCATTGTGTACAGTTGAATGCATCATGTGTTATTAATAATGAACCTCAATATTTATTTTATATAATTAAAGTATGTCATCCTCATTAATAATTTCTAATGAGATTGTCCTAGATTAGCACAGAAGAGGAAATCGCCTGTTAATCCCTACCTTAAGCCAATTTCCAGGATAATCCAAGCCCAAAGTTCCAGTAATGAGCCATAGTGATAACTGTATATAAAATCTCCATGTTAAGCATACAACTTTTTCGTTACATATTCAGAAAATTTTGTATCTAATTTAAGAATTTCAGTCATATTTTATTTGCTCAGTTGAACATTTTTATGACAGTTGTCTGTATAGAAACTTAAGTCGAGTGCACTAACTTTATCCTAGGTGGAATTATGCATTCATTTTCTATATTTTATTCTGACGTTTTACGCTGTTTACTAATTTGTTTTTATAACTCGGAGGGTTTCCTTTAGAAGTGCTTCTATATAGTATTTAGTAAGAAATCTGCTCAATAATTTTCCCGATGCTCTCGTGGCATTTTTGTTAGCTTTTCCTTTTATCGGAGATTAAACAGAATGTAGTGTGTATGTCCTGGTAGAGAGACAGGTTTGTTACTCTTGAATCCACGGACATTGAAATTTTAAAGTGCACTGAAAAATATTTGTTGGGTGTCCAATTACTTTCTCGGATGTTTTTACCATTTCTTAAAGGCGGTCTCCCATTTTAAAGTCAATAAGGTTCATAGCATGTAAGTCTGATTTTCTATTGTCCATTGAACTTTCAAAATGTTTTTGATAAATATTTCCCTTTTGTGTTGTATTTAAAGCTTGAGTTTTAACTTAGTACGATCCCACAAAGCCAAGAGACTTTTGGTTGTGTTATATTGTGATTTGTACAATGTATTTTGCACCTAGCTACAATCTTACATTGTAGACTCACACTTCAGATTCCTTCATATAACCTTTTCATGTTTCACAATGAAAACATCTCGCACGTCATGGTAAACAACAATCCATCGACGAGGACTAATTATATCGAGTATAATGACCCCATATTAACAAAGTTCAGACTTAAAATGACCAATGAATTCTACTCAAAAAGAAAAAAATGCTTTGTGAATATCATTACCTGTATGTGTCATGTGACATGTCATGTGATATGTCAGTTGAAATTGTGTTCCATATGCTTGTTTCCTGGTTACCATGGTGACTATTAAATCCAGAAATTGTTTCTAATATTTCATATTTCTTGAAGTCATTGGCAAGTTTGTCATTATCTTTGGCAATGTCATTTTTATCGTCAACACTTTGTTTACTCAGAGAATGTATTTCTGATAGGTCTAAAGACCATACCATTTTATCAGCAAGGTCAATCAAGTTATGTGTATTTTGTTTAATAGCCGCAATGCTGTCCATATTGTGACCTTTACCATAATGGTCAAGGTCACAGCTGAACGATCTCACCCGTGGGTCAAGGTCAAATATCAGTTTATTGGTCAAATCCGTACTGTCAAAAGAATATGTTCTGCTTGTCAAATTGGCATCATTTACAAATGAATGACACCTACTTGACTGATCATTTTGGTCATTTTGGTGTGAATCACCAATGTGATGATCATCAAAAATATCTATATCAGTTTCGCCATTGTCTTCGTCGAAAACGTCATCTAAATCTGAAATATTAGAAACAATTCTGTACCGTGGTATCACTGCTCTCATAATTTGTATTTGTGTTCTCTTTGAATTCATTTTCTAGAGTGTGGTTTAAAATATACATTCTGTATTTTATACCCAAATATGGTATCATAACAGGATGTTGGATTGTAAGGATATATAAGGGTATTAAATAAATAAAAAAGGTCTTATTTGGGATCCTTTACTTCCTGGTGCAAGTTTGTAGAATTCTTACTTCTATAATCCATTGTTTATAATAATGTTTTTTCATCAATACTTGTTTATTTTGATGTTTATGAAGAAACTCTTTTCTTGAATAGTATCTATTTGTTAGCTAGTTTAACATAATTTCAAGGTATTATAAAATATAAATAGATAAAAAAAAATTGAATTGTTGTTTATTTCAAATGTTATTAATAATTTAATTGAAGTATAATTTAGAAAGGTGAATTTTATTTTTTAGAGTGGCAAAATGAGTAGGGATTAATTTTAAGATTCTTTGACACATTAAGTTCTTTCAAACTTTCACAGTTATTTTGACATTTTGAGTTGAGTAATTTCATTTCATTTAAAATTGAGGAAGTTTTGACATTCATCCTGAAAAAATGGCTTCATTTTTTCAGACCATTGTTAAGTTTGGCTAACATATAGTTTATTTGACAAATAATTTATTTATATATGATAAATCATAATTCAATCCAAATTTTTTTAAAAGATTTTTATCAACACATGACATAAAATTTTACCTACATTTGATTGCACCCCCCGCCCCACCATTTACGCCATTAAACACACTACATCCACTGAAGGATCTATATGTCCTTGACGTCACACATTAAGAAAAGAGGAAATATTACATGATCACAACACATGGATTAATGATCAACCGTGATTACCTATGTATTTACTACCATTAACTTTGTATTGACATATTTAACATGTATTTGTCACAGGAAGATCTCTCAGGTGAATGTGGTAATCCATTGCTAGATTTATCAATGGGTGATGAAGGTACAGTCCCGTGCAAAGTACCCAGAATTGGCTCAATGTTCCTATTAAATATACAGGGGTTTGATGTTTTTTGGGGGGCTGTTCAATATACTTTATTGAACTTAGAAGGATATTTGCAAAAGGAAGAACTTTAAGTTATGTAATAGTTACAGGTTGGATAATCCTTGGACTCCTACGAGAATCTATAATGTCAATTGGAAAAGTGCACCTCTAAGACTTTATAAGTCAACTTAGGACAATATTCATTAAATACTGATAAAGATAAAGTTATGAAAACTTGATAACAGGACACTGGCTGCAAAGAATGAGATACACGATGTGCAAAATCTGAAAAATTTGACATAGTGATTTTGAATTTTGTAGCTGTTAAGGATGCTCCAAAGATATATCAATACTGATATCATACTGACATTTATATATTAATATACAAATATACTTGAATATTCACAAAGGATGCTCCCAAAATATGTCAATGATATCATACTGACATTTTCATATTGTACAACTATTATATTAATATACTTGTATATCTTAATCCCATAGTTTCATTAACAAATCATAAATACAAATATTTGTTAAAGTACCTGTGGCTGATAGGTGACAAATTCAACGACCAGACCATCTTGTCAGAATGCCGTTGTAGTAAATCCATTTGTTTCCTAACTCTTGGCATATTGTTTTAAACTTTTAAAACTCTTCTTAATATTATATTAATCCAATGTTTTTTCCAACTGTCAGTTGATGTTTACATTATGTGTATCCGTGAATTATATCCAAATATTCCAATATATGTGGATATTGATATCAAGTGTGTCAGAACTAGAAATTCACTTTAATTTTTTTGCAATGCTTTTTGATGTGTCTCTTCTTCAGAATTATAACTGTATTTAAATTGTTTTAGATCCAGTCCTGCTTATTTATATCATAACAGTTATAATACACCCAGCCAAAAAGAATATAAGATAATTAGCCATTAATTAGGTACGTTTGATTCATTTTTTAAACCCAGTGTTTTTATTGGGTGGATTAAAAATCTATTTTTCTTTTTGAACACATGTTGAAAAGTGATAACTTGGAGATTAAAAAAGAAAGATTATAGAATAATTAAAGAAGTTTTCTTCAATGTTTTGGAATAAAATGTTGATCACATATATATGTGATCAACCTGATAATATATCCACCTGTTTTTTGTCTTCAGCTGTTGAAAAATTAGAAAAGAGATTTAATATTCAATTTCCCCCCTTGACCATCTTGTTTACAATTTTAAAGTTGATTATTTGGCTACGAATGTGATGTGGAACATTCATAATATATTTTTGAAAAATATTACTTATTTCTTAACATTATTTTTCATTTAGTATTATATTTTTGTATAAAATCAATTATGAAATTAATTAAACCTATAAACAATAACAATACAAGAATTATACAGAACATAAACAAACTCAAGTTTGCTGAGTTCCAAAAACTGTTCCAGACTTCCTTTTCTGGGAACCAATTATTGAAGTATAATTACCCTTAATTACCTATTGTCTCCTTAATTAATCACATGGAGAGGTAGTTTTTCAAAGTTATAATGGAATACACAAATTTTCCAGATTTCCTACATGAATGGTAATTTTCTTAAATCATACACAATCCAGTCACTTAAAGTGATCTTTGTAGCTGTTTGTTTTGATTCGGTTCAATATTTGCTTTTGAGAGAACAAGAGGAAGATGAAAAAGATATGATAGATAAACTGTAAGCACTGATCATTTTGGATTTAATTCAGATGCTATACTGTATAGTGATTTTTAGATAGTTAGTAGTTTTAATTGTCTCAGGTATAACATTTCAAATGGGACACATTTTTGTTTTCATTATGCTTATATTAATGTCGAATTGGATCAAATACTTTTGTTTTGATTATTATCAAATTATTGATAGAAATTAAATTGAGTCAAATTAATATCAAAAGAAATCAAAGGTACATTGAGTTAAATCTTTCATTTAGCAATTTTAGTTATCAAAATGAATCAAAGACATTTTGAGTTGAGTTTTTCTTAGCAATTTTAGTTATCAAAATGAATCAAAGACATTTTGAGTTGAGTTTTTCTTAGCAATTTTAGTTCTCAAAATGAATCAAAGACATTTTGAGTTGAGTTTTTCTTAGCAATTCGAGTTATCAAAATGAATCAAAGACATTTTGAGTTGAGTTTTTCTTAGCAATTTTAGTTCTCAAAATGAATCAAAGACATTTTGAGTTGAGTTTTTCTTAGCAATTTTAGTTCTCAAAATGAATCAAAGACATTTTGAGTTGAGTTTTTCTTAGCAATTCGAGTTATCAAAATGAATCAAAGACATTTTGAGTTGAGTTTTTCTTAGCAATTTTAGTTCTCAAAATGAATCAAAGACATTTTGAGTTGAGTTTTTCTTAGCAATTTTAGTTCTCAAAATGAATCAAAGACATTTTGAGTTGAGTTTTTCTTAGCAATTTGAGTTATCAAAATGAATCAAAGACATTTTGAGTTGAGTTTTTCTTAGCAATTTTAGTTCTCAAAATGAATCAAAGACATTTTGAGTTGAGTTTTTCTTAGCAATTTTAGTTCTCAAAATGAATCAAAGACATTTTGAGTTGAGTTTTTCTTAGCAATTCGAGTTCTCAAAACGAATCAAAGACATTTTGAGTTGAGTTTTTCTTAGCAATTCGAGTTCTCAAAACGAATCAAAGACATTTTGAGTTGAGTTTTTCTTAGCAATTCGAGTTCTCAAAACGAATCAAAGACATTTTGAGTTGAGTTTTTCTTAGCAATTCGAGTTCTCAAAACGAATCAAAGACATTTTGAGTTGAGTTTTTCTTAGCAATTCGAGTTCAAAATGAATCAAAGACATTTTGAGTTGAGTTTTTATTGATATTAGTAGTTATCAAAATGAATCTAAAGACATTTTGAGTTTACATCCTTTGATCTATGATTATACAATATAATAAAATCAAGCCAATGATTAATAAGTAAAATTAGATAAGAAATGCACAATTCCCTAAGAATCATTCTAATTTGACACCCAAACATGGGAATTTGAGTATCATAAAACTTCTTTTGGTTTATCTTCATTTTTATCTCATTTTCAATCAAGTTAGGAAGATGGGTATAACACAAATAGACTTTTACTGTATAATATGATATTTGTGTATGTTTATTATATTTTGTTTATTTGCTTTTGAAAATTGACAAAATTTTGTGACTTACCTATTGTGACCATATATGATTAATCACGACATTGTAGGTTTAGATTATGAATTTACAATCCAATGTACAATATACCATTCAATACTCCATAGAAAAATGTTATAAATTACTTATAACATAGCAATACATGTTTAACACTTTTTCTTTGTGCATGTCTACCCAAGGTGTAAAACCATATGTTCCTTTTCTGCTTTTCTATAGTACACGAAATGTCATATTTCAACTTACATGTAACCTTATATGATAATGTATATGTAAGAGAATCAGGTGTCTATCTAAAGAAAGGGCTACCACATAAACTGAGGCATAATTTTAAACTTAACTTAAAGTTTTATGATTTTACGATATTGTCACCTGCATTAATGTCTATTTAATGCCACTACTTTTAGTTATGAGTTAATTTAAGCTTTTCCAAGCAAAACCAGTGTAGAAATCAGTCTTTCGTATTTGGCGATTCTAGCTTTACCTTGTATTAAATGTTGGATGTCATCTATTTGGTAGCCCTCTGGCTCCCTATGAAGTAACCTGTACTATCAGTAAAACAGATCAGGGTAGCTTCTTATTTGAATACTAATTAGCTAATTTGACTGGGTCATCTCCATATGATGATTCAGTCATGTGTGGAAAATGTTTAAAAATGATTTAAAAATGAAATTATAGTTATTGTCTATCAGCTGGACAGAGGAGGGGAGGAGGGGTATAAGGGGGAGGGGGTGTCCATTGATGCGTTAACAGTCACTCCTAATTGAGGACTTGACTCGAGCCTAAAAAAATATTTATTTTTGGAATATGATTTTTTATATTGAGTATTGTAGGAGTTTGGTTTGATTCATTCAACTAAATTATAGTCAGGTTTTATTTTCCAGTTCCTTTGATCACGATAGGATTATATCCAATTAAAGGAAATATGAATGAAAACATAGGAATTAAATTGATTATCTGTTATCTTTATGGAAGAAATAGAGTATTACTACTAAATGCTAGAATTGTCACATGGCATATGCTACATGCATTCTTACTATACAGTCAGGTGCACAGACATCAAAAATATATGTAAATGAATAGTGGAATAAGTCAGTTTAAGCCAATTCTGAAGGCTTTACAATAAACTGTAGTATTAAGATTAAGATTTTAGATACCAAACTTTACTTGGTATTAATTTTAAAATTTCAGAAGTGTCTTACCTTTTATGTGTTGTATAAGCTCAAAAGATTTCCAAATCAATGTAAAATGTTTAATTGTTAAGCCTTATTTAAAATGCTTATTTAAAAAGGTATTTTCTCTATTCATTGAATTTCTTTAATATGTGTTCTATCTTGATTAAAGTCCTCTTTGTACTTAGAGCTTATTGCTATTATAACATTTTACTCTGATTATCGTGCACTTTAAAAAATCTATAGGATTCTCTGATATTATTACAGCGTCATTGTTTACAAAAGTATCTACCTTCCCTCCCAAAAAGTTGGAACAGTATTACTTGAAATATTTCAGCAGTTAAAAACTCAAATAATTTAAATGTTTCCCTCCAGAAACCAACATGAGTTTTCTTGTTTGTATCAACCTATGTCTTATATTTTATGGTGATTAAGATATAGCGTGATTGAAAAACTTCAGGCCCAAGAGTTCAAAGCGTCCTAAGACATGTATAGCCACACGGCACATATTGACCAATCACGGCATGATCGTATCAAATGAGCAAACATTACATCACATGCTTTTACGATACTTTCAAGGCAGTTATCTCAATTAATATTTCATAACAATAAAGTTTCCAATAATTTGAAGATTCTTATAATCACTGCAAGAGGTCTTACTCATATTAATTATGAGATAATTAGGTTTTATATATGAATGATTAAGACAAAGCGTAATTGGGCAATGGTTTTATTTAATAATAGAAATGCAGAATGGCTTTATGTAATGAAAGGAATCGCAGAATGGAGTTTATAGGAAACAAAGAAATGTACATACAGAAGACCCAATATTGAGAATATCTAATATTTCAGAAGTACATGTGTGTTTTTGAAATAGTGATGTGAGTGAATATAGAAACATCCCCCATCCCCCACCCCCAAGTATATTTCCCCCAGATATGTTTATGTACAAGAGATTGGGGGGGGGGGTAACTCAGGGTTGTCAATCACGCTTGATATGTAAGACACATTAAATCTTCTTTGTATTGTCACATCCACTATTTACCTCCATTCTGATGATTCACCTCTACTTTTATCATTTTTTGTAGAATACGTTGACATAATATATTTATATTAATACATATTATTTACATTGTGATACCCACACCACCATTGATTTTGACTTTTCCATACTGGCAGGTAAAAAGATGTCTGGCAAACCAAAATGATGAAAAAATGAGTATTACCTACTCTATAATGGTTAACCCATTTATAATAGTCAATGACACTAAATTATCCTTAAACAAGCCCCTGGTATTTCATTTGATGTTTTACATCTAATTGCCATCTAATCAAATATATTGTTTCATCAAGCAAACATTGTTTTTACAATAAGTACATGTGTTATGAGATAAAAGATTTAATCACGCATCTCGCCTTGGGATAGGAGAAATTAGCCAACTTCTTACTTCAGGAATGATTTTGTATATTTATGCTTTTTATGCTTAAAGGCCCAGAGATTTGGACCCGGGTGAAGCTATTAATCAAGCTGTCACTATTCAACCAATCAGTGCTAATGTGGCCAGTTTAAATGTCCAGCATATACAGAAACACATGGTATGCTACAAGAGAGCTACAGCCTAATGCTATGTTTGTTTACTTCTAAACAGATAAGAGATGACCATTGGTTGAAATTTAAATTTTCAGTTATACTAATGAGCATATTTACAAAAAGGAAATTGTCTTATTTCACAAAAACTAAAAAATATTTTAGATTTTGATTTGAAATTTATAGTCATGATAGTTTCACAAACCTCTGTAACAAAAAAAGAGCTTGGAACTCATGGTAACAATCTTGTTATAGTAGAAAGTTTGAAAATTTTCTCATTTTGTTTGAACTAGACATTTAAACTGCCATATTTGGCTGTTGTGGGCTGTTCCATCTGCCTTTTATACCCGCTCTCAGCCTTTAAGACAGCCATTAGAAAAAGGACTTATAAAAAAGCATTTATTTGTACATTTTTCCCTTGCTCTTGATGAAGTTGAGCTTGAATGGTTTGAGGAAATGATAAATGCCCTATTTACCTTTTATTTTTCATTTATTCAAGTTATCTTTTTCATTAATATGAGGAATTTACTTAATTTTTTTGTTTTTGATTTCCTCCACAGAATATAAGCATTGTGCTCTTATTCGGTAATTATGTCATAAACTGCAAAATTAGGATGAAAACGAAATTAACAATGGTTAAAGCATGCAGAAAATACACACCAGATGTATTGTGTAACCCATGGTAACCGTTTCTAATTACATCTAGACCCATCATAAGAGGCCTAGGAATGGTTAAAGCATACAGAAAATACACACCAGATGTATTATGTAACCCATGGTAACCGTTTCTAATCACATCTTCTAGACCCATCATAGGAGGCCAAGGAATGAATGGAATTTGAAATTGTCCCTCATTAGGGTTGTTATGATTATAATGGTGAACTAGTTGTCAGGGTGGATAAATTATTTATCTAATGATATAACATCATCATCTGGTACAGAAGGCAGAAATTTCAAATGGGGAATATCTCAACCTAATTCGAGAGTCTGTGATTCCAATTTTGTAAAATGAAATAATTTGAAACAACTAATTCTAAACCAACCATGGGAAAGTTAAACTAATTCTGATAGCCAAAAATATTTAAACATGTAGACTATTTTATGCTACTTACCCTAAGATCTCATTTCTATTTCGTAGTTTCCTCAGCTTTTTAACCCCCATCTTATTATTCGTTTGTTGTGCCTTTTTGTAAAATCCTGAATCTTTTGTACTTAAAATTGAATCGTAGTTGTTGAAGTATTATTCATTAATCTATTTTCAATATTATATTAACTTTAGTTTGGTCTAAAACAAACAATTCCAAAACCTAGCCTTATGCTTCCAAGTTAAAGTCATCTCAATTACGATTTTGTTTGTGAGAAAATAATTTGATTGTACAAGAAATAATCCATCTAGGTGCACGTTTGTATCTTAACATCCCCACATCCTTACGCTATGAGATGTTTTGGTGATATAATAGCCTAATGTTATATTGACATTGGTTCAAGGTACTTATTGATACATAGCGACCCTTGCTGAATGCCGTCTGCTTTCGCTTATTTTACTCAATAACTTTCTAAAATTTGATTGAAGTATCCAATTTTTTTGCATTTCTATACAATTTAGTGTATTTACTTTCTATGTGTGAAGTTTATTCCTTGCTAATTCCACTCTTTTCCACTCTATTTTGCAATTTAAAACATGACCGCCATGATGTTTTGCCTGTAGGAAATGATACATAGAGATATCCTAGGTTAATATTGATCATCGGGATTATTGTCAGATTACTAGAATTTTTACACACCCTTTCCAAAATATTGATTGGTGGTTCCTAATTTTCTCACTAAATAATTAGATTCATGCGACTTCCTTATAATTTATTGATATATTTAGGAAGTGTATTCCAGTGTTACATGTTTATGTTAAATCTGTCGGATTGAAGATTACTAAAAGTTACTTTTCGTAATAATTTTTGAATATTTCCCAAGATTCCAACATTGTTTGGTAAATACAGTCTTAGTGTTTTAATTTGATTTTCACTTCATGAAAATAGTGTCTCTCTCGAAGAAGACTTCAAGTTCAAAATGAGCCAAGTCTGTGTGAATTTTGCCTGTGGCTTGTTTCAACAATTTATTATACAGTGACTCAGTGCTCGTTTCGGTACCTAAATTGAAATCTTTTGAATAATTAATTGAATATCGGGTTGTTTTCCCTATTTTGAAATAATTTTAGCATCAAAGGGGGCTATAAGTTACTCTTGTAATATCATGTTAAGTTGCATAGAGAATCATTGAATTTAAACTTTCAGTTAAAAGAAACTTTTTAAATATTTGTAAATGGGTAACAACAAAACATACAACATTTGCTGATTCTTAAAAGTAGCTCGCAACTGAACTATAATTAAGCTAAAAAATACTAGCCTTTCAGTTCAGGCTATAAAAATATTTTTACGATAAAATGAACAAAAACCTCTAACTTGACAGATGTGTTCTTAATGCCAAAATTTGTATGAAAAAATGACCCAAAAATATTATTGTTATTTTTTACAATTGATGATTCTTCTAAATCCAAATATTTGCTTTTTCTAGGTTAATCCTAAAAATTATCAAAATCTCTGAGGTGGTCTGATGTCTGATGTTTTTTGGATATTATTATTTGGTGGAACATATCTTTGCTTCACATAAAGATGGCAGTTTAGAAGTTTTTAATTTAATATTTAGTTAGTTATTACAGTGCCATCTTTATTTGAATTAAGATGTAACTTCAAACATTAGCACCTTGATAGGGGCATATAGTTTAATAAGCCCCCCTCATACATTTCTAAATTAAAAAAATCAATGAAATGTGTTAAGCTATGATAAATGCAAGAAAATAAAGAAAAATGTGACATGCAAAAAAATAAAGAAAAATGTGACATGCAAGAAAATAAAGAAAAATGTGACATGCAAGAAAATAAAGAAAAATGTGACATACAAACATCTGCCAAGTAACAATGGATCAGCGAAGGACATTTTATTAATTATGCTATATGACTACTATTTAACATGACTAATGTTTCACATGACTACTATTTTGCATGACTGCTGAGAAATAATGGTAGAATAATATGGCTAAAGGAAGCTTCACGTCACGACCCTGTCCCCCAAATTTCTATCTTTGTGTTTATCTTAGGGTCAGAAAATAATTTCGGAGTACCTTTTACATCCTTCTGACTTCACTTCATTAAAGAAAGCTCAGACTATAAATATGTATTTCACCATGGCAAGATGCATCTTGGATCTGACCAAAATTTATCTCAAAATCATGCAGTTTTTCACTATTCTGACCATATTTTATGTGATTTTTGGCCAAATATGTCAAAGTAACCCCCCCCCTAGAATTTTAGGGAAAAGTGAATCCCCCTTGAAAAATTCTGGCTACAGGCCTGGATCTTGATTCACAAGGTTTCAGTTGCTACAACCCAGTAGAAAGCGACTATGGGCCAGATGTCAGATTCAGAAATATTAGGTGCACAGCAACCAAATCACACCTGCTTATGGGAGATCTACCTCAAGAGCCAATAAAGTAGGCCCGAGTCAATCAAATGTAAAATTAACTATTTCTAATTTATCTCCATCAGTGATAAGAGGTCTAAATCCTATTTAAGTTACATCAAGGAAGATATAATTATCTTCCACTCCAGAGATCAAATCTTATTATGACCTCAGATTTCAAATGTGTTTTACATCTTTGTTTTTAAATGACAGATGGTAAATTGCATCATGAGTTAGCCTGAGTGTTAATTTATTAGTAAGTTGAAGCTCTCTTTGAGGAAGCAAAATTAAACTATTGGAGATATTAGGAAACACATTTGTCATTTAATAATTTTGAATACCAATGCTAGAAATAGAAGTTGCATTAAATATTTATCTGGTTGTTCTCCATTCAAATATTCCTTCTTTTTACAACTACAACAGACAAAAAAGAACTAAAAGAATGTTGTGATCTCTTAAATGATTTTTTTTGCTGAATTTATTCAATTCAGTTATATATTTCAAACATGCAAATTTTAAAATTTTGTAATTTTCCAGCAGTTAATTAGCATACTTTGTTTGACTATTCTAATTAATATTTAGGCAAAAAGTCTCATTTGTCATTTCGTTAGTTCCAAAAGGACATTCTGTGTGCATATCTGATTCTGCTATTTACATCTATTTGACTTCCTAGGTAAAGTAATACAAAACCTTGATTTATAGTTATAATTATAATTTTCCAGTAAAACTGAAATGAATCAGTCTTTTGTGCCATGATTGGTCTTTAAAAAATTAAAGAAAGGATGACATTATAGGGGTAATTTACATTTTACGTTCACGTTTACAATTTATAACTGACCATAATTACCAGTCAAAAAGATATGGGCATTCCAATTTGTCACGCTTTTTTTGATTGAACAAAAAACGCTAGAAAATGAGAGCTTTTAGGAACTGTTAAATTAAACTTAGAAAATGATTTTTTTCAATATTTATACCAAGTTTAAATCCTTGAAAGTAGGTTTCATAAAATCCTGTAAAGTGTTTTTGTGCTTTACGGCAGATAATATTGTTAATTGAGGATGTTTTTCACTCATAATATTTATATTAATCGTGTCAAATGGACGAATTGTGAATTTTGCGAGGGTGGAAAAAATGTCAAAGATTTTCCACTGATTAGTCTTGAAGTCTAATCATACATACTCAGGTTTCATTTGTTTTGTTATAATGCACAGCAAAGAAATTAAAAATTTAGTAGAAAAAATATGTTTGAAGGATTTAGTAATTTTACCCCGAGGATTTGCAAAAAGCAGATGATACGGGAGAAATTAACGGTTAATTTTTTGAATGACCTGTCAATGAAGTGTTTATCATGTCTTAGTGTCGCTCGTTTTGAAATGGTGAAAATTATGAAAATTTAGGATTATACGGAGTCTTACTTTTTTAAATAACGTATGCATATATTGTTTGAAAGAATGTTTTAGTTTGAGAATATTAATAATCATCAGAACATCAATCTCCATCTCGATCTCCATTCATTTTCATATTGTTTACCAAATGCTGTTTTTGCCGTTTTGTTCATTTTTATTGCAGCTTCGGGAAAATTCGATTTAAATGAAAAAAGCATCATTATAAGCAATATCATCTCCCCTCTCAATTCTGCAAGTTATTTTCATTGACAGATTTAGAGAACATCTGGATAGAATTAGAAACTCTCTGATTCAACAATATATATCCTGTCTTTAAATATGTAAAATGCCAGTTTCTGAAGTCACCAAAAAACACGAACAAAAGATATTCTATTAATATGTTCACACCTGTAACCTGCCAAACAAATAACTAACCAAGTGATGTGAAAAATAATAGTTGATACATCGTAGGTTTTCTTCAGCCTCCACAGAAAACCATTGAGACTCAATTGAGCAGTTAATAACCCCCTCTTGTCTCTAAAAATATTTTTGATTGTCTTGTAAGAGAACAAATTTGCTTTCTTTTGAGGATTGAATGACACTGTAGAGCATATGATTGCTCAAAGTTACAATTTGTTCGTTTATTTAAAAGTTAGTTACAAAGAGTACTATTGAATCTGTTGTTGTTCTAGTAGTTTCTGGAATGTGCCTGCTACACATATTTACATGGAAGAATTTTAAAGAGTTTCAAACAAGGGACATTTACCAAAAATTATATTATTTCGAAGATTTAGTCAATGACGTGCTAATATCTATTTTAACACCCTCGGCCTCCCATGATGTACCCTCCATGGAGTTATTGTCTGACAGTAATTAGAAATCACAATATTTAGGTGTTTAATTTTCTGACACCTTTCTACAAAAAGGAGACAACGGGTCTACAATTGAAAAACCTAACATGCCGACTCTAAACGCAATCAAGGAGTCTGAGTTCTCATTGACTTGGCAGTAAAATAAGCTAATCTGATTAATCTACGTTAATCTATTAGATTTCTCCTGTTAATCCTTTATGTTTCAACCTTCAGATTAAAAGATTAATGTGTAAATAATCCATTGACTTACATAGAAATGCATTTAATGGGTTGCCTGAGTGGGGTGCAAACACTTATTTTGTATGATACTTGTAAGTTGGAGGGTCATTTGAAATGTTTAAATGCAAACATATTAAGAATTTAAGTAAATTAAAGATGTAGAAATCAGGAATCACAAAGTCTGAGAATTTGAACTATTTGTGCAGACATCAGATATCATTTGTTTGAATTTTTTTCAGCAAAAAATATAAAAATTTATAATTATCTTACTCTCATAGTATGGTTATTTTAATTATGGTATAGATGTAAGAATTAAGTTTAAATGAATATTGCATGGAAATATAATGTCAGAATAAGAAATGAACTTCATGAGAATGAACCTCATGAGTTCATGATTATATGAACTATGAAAAGCTGCTATTTGAGCTAAATTTAAAGGCTCTATTTTGGGGGATAAACATTTCAAAGTCTGAAATGTTTCCTGGGATTATCTTTCAGATGATAGCAATCTTAAAGATGATTCTCTAATGAGAACCCTTGCTTAAAATTACAATTTTAATTCCTTTCATTTTCCTGATAAATGACCATAATGATTCTAGGATAATTATCAAGATGACATTGAAATGTATGGATCTGTATGTACATGTATATTTTGATTTCTTTTGCTC